TGTTTTCAGTCTTGCAGCATTAGTTTATTTTTCAGGTTCATTTATTTGGTGCTGTCATGTGTCTTTATCTCTGATTGTTCTCTGGTGTTGCTATTGTTCTCTGGTATTGTTCTCTGGTGTTGTTGAAGGACTCATTTTCATGTTTTTTTTGTGAGGTAGGTCTGGTTTGCAAATTCCCTTAATTTCCGTTTATGGAAATGTCCTAATTTCCCCAGAATATTTGAGGGACCGTTTTGCTGGGTATATGATTCTCATATGTCATCCTGTTGCCTTTTTTGCCTGCATGGTTTCTTCTGTGATATCAGAGCTCAGTTTTATTAGTATCCCTTTGTAGGCAGTATTTCAGTGTTTTCTTGAGCTGTTCTCTGGATTTAGAGAAGTTGATTATGATATGTTTTGGTTTTCTTTTGGTATTTATCCTGTATAGGGTTTGTTTAGTTTCTTGGATGTATATCTTATAATTTGCCATAATTTAGGATAGTTTTCTTACAGCATATCTTTCAATATTCTGTCTGGTTTTATTATAGGGTGGAGAGGATTCTGTTCTTGAAATCCAATCATATGTAGATTATCCTTTTAAACTTTCAACATAACTCTAAAACTTTGTTTCTTTTTCTTTTTTTTAATCATGTTTTTGGGGGCTCGTACAACTCTTATAATACAATCCATGCATACATCCATTGTGTCAAGCGCATTTGTACATTTGATGCCCTCCTTATTCTCAAAACGTTTGCTTTCTACTTGAGTCCTTGGTATCAGCTCCTCATTTTTCCCCTTCCTCCCCGCTCCCCCCTCTCTCATGAACCCTTGAAAATTTATAAATTTTTATTATTTTGTCATATCTTACACTGTCTCATGGCTCCCTTCACACACTTTTCTTTTGTCTGGCCCCCAGGGAGGAGGTTATATGTAGATCCTTTTTGTTGGTTCCCCCTTTCTACCCCACCTTCCCTTCACACTCCAGATATTGCCACTCTCACCACTGGTCCTGAAGGGGTCATGTGTCCTGGATTCCCTGTGTTTCCAGTTCCTATCTGTACCAGTGTACATCCTCTGGTTTAGCCAGATTTGTAAGGTAGAATTGGAATCATGATGGGGAGGCAGGGTAAGCATTTAAGAACTAGAGGAAAGTTGTCTTTTTTTTTTTTTCTGTGCTATACTGCACCCTGACTGACTCCTCTCCTTCCCGCGACCCGTCTGTCAGGGGTTGTCCAGTGCCTACAGATGGGCTTTGGGTCTCCACTCCACACTCCCACTCATTCACAATGATATTATTTTTGTTCTTTGATGCCTGATACCTGATCCCATCGACACCTCTTGATTTCAAAGGCTGTTGTGCGTCTTCCATGTGGGCTTTGTTGCTTCCCAGCTTGATGGCCGCTTGTTTATCTTCAAGCCTTTAAGAATAATTAGTTCTTATGACATGACTCTGGTTGAACTCACCCTCATGAAGAAAACATGCAAGATGTGGGTCCTACAGCAATGTGTTATGAGAAAACTAGCTGGTACCTGGCTATCAGAAGACATAGTGTCTGGGGTCTTAAAGGCTTGTTTTCAAGCAAGCAGTCACAAGTGAGAAGTCAACTGTCCCAACATGGAAGAAGCACACTGACATGCATGATCCAAGGATTGTAAATTATATAATAAAAATTTGAAGGAGGGAATGGTATGAGAGCTTAAATTGTGAAATTCTGATTTTCAGAAGGCTATGGATAACAGTGAAAGTCCAAGATACATATGTAGGATCTACATACGGAATTAAGCCTCTGGTGATTTCCCTCTGACCGTAATTGAGAGATGGAATAGCCTGGTTATCAGACAGCATTGTAAAGACAATGATAGTAGATTAAAATATTTTTTAAAAAAAAAACTGTTCAGACTTGAATGGTTAAAACCTTATTATTTGATCTCCCTTTTGACATCCTTTGAGTTTTATCTGGTTTTTAGTATTTTCTGTTTTCCAAACTGTTGTATTTTGATATTGTTGGTCACCTTCTAGACTCTCTGCTATCCATTTTTCTATGTTTTTTAGTATAAGGAACCCAGGGAGGGTGAGGCTGAATCTATAGGGATAATAACTAGATGAAGGTTTTGGAGGGGATATGGCAGGGGAAGTGGTAGGGGGAGGGCGGTAATGGGGAGCTAATATCAAGGAGTACAAGAATGGAGAAAATGTTTTGAAACGGATTGTGTTAGAAATTGCACAATGCTTTTTGATATGACTAAACTATTGAATGGTATGATGTCTGGATTATTTCATAATAGTTTAAAAACCAAGCAAACAAGCAAGCAAAATATAGTTAGATTCCAAAGACCAAGTCATCAATGTAAAAAATTGGCATTATGAAAAAATGGAGGGTGACACATAAGATGAAAAAAAAAAAAAGAAGAAACGTGATTGTATCATTCCGTAACTGTCAACCCACTGAGAACCCTGGTCCAGTCAAGGTGACCTTGGTCATCCTGGCTGGTGTTTCTCTCATTCATTACTGCCAGAGACAACATTATTTTAGAGTTTTTTTATTGTCATGTGAAATGTTAGATAACGAGATAGTTAATAAGTGAGGAGTAGGTGCACAAATACTCTGCTTTGTTGTTGCAATGAAATTTTCTTTTTACAGAAAGGCATGGAAATTGGAGGATGGCATGAATCTGATCTTAGGGAAGACACATTTTCTGTTGAAGTAATTATTGTAATTCCATATTTTTAAGAGAAAATAACTCAGAAGTAAGTGGAGTTGGGTTATATTTTTCGCTTTGCTGCAGACGAGTTGCTTACTGTGCACTAAACACGGACTGATGATAGGAGAAACTGCCTCCGTGGAAGACTTGAAGTAACAAGAGGCTCGCGTGAGTGCCTTATGTACCGTGCCGGTCTGTGGTTAAGGCATTGGATCGCAGTTTGTGCCAATTTCCTTCTTGCTGTTACTTCCTGTTCAGTAGCGTCCAACTCCCATTGATCCCACATAAGCTCTATAGGGTTCCATAGTGTGACCCTTGGAAAGCCAGATCTGTCGCCAAGGCCCCTGTGGTTGTTTTAATTGTGGTCTAATGCGTAGCCATTTGTGCTACCCAGGGGCTTCTATGTCCTTCTTCACTTGCCGTCATTGATTGAATTCTGCTCATAGTGACTTAGAACAGGGTGGGTAGGACTGTCCCTGTTTCCCAGAATAACTCTTTCCGGGATTAGAAAGCCTCATCTTTCTCCTGAGGAGCAGCTGGTGGTTTCAAACTGCCAACCTTGCAGTTACCAACCCAACAAGTACCCCACTACACAACTAGGGCTCCTATTTCCTTCTTAGTTTGCGCAAAATGAGATATTTCTATCACCAAAGGCTTAAATTTGGTGAAATGTGTTGAAAAGATTCAGAGCACTAGATCCCTCTTCCATCTCAGGTTGCTGTGAAGGTCCCCATTCCTCTCATTCACTGTTTGTCCATCTGACATATGTCTAGAGTCAGGCACTGACCATCCTGACTCAACAGTCCGTCTTCACGCTTTCGTCTCGTGGAATATTAACTGCAGTTCTGCTGCAGGAAAGGTAGTATTGATTCTTGGCATCTTAGACTTGATGAAGTATGGTGCTTGTTTTTGCTGATTTAAACATGTTTGTGGTAGAAAATGTGGGCTGTATGGGAATAAAAATCTCCAGGAATTCTCTCACCCACACAGAATCACCACTTCATGCTGATGTGTATGGTGACATATATGTTCAATATGCACGTTCATACTCATGTGTAACCTGTTTTTACTGGCCAGCTTCCAGAAATGTTACAATTTTAGACTTTTTAAAGATAGGGAGTTGGTATTCTGGGCCTGAGGCTCTTTGATGGGTATGACCTTGTATCTCCTGAGCAAGATTCACAGCAAAAGATGCTCTATTATATTTCTTTTTCCCCCTTCCTTTGGTAACAGTTTTACTGAGATAAATGTATATACCATATAATAATCCCATATAAATATATATGATCCAGTGGATTTTAGCATATTCAGAATTATATAGTAATCACTACAGTAAAATTCAGTTTTTTTATCGCCTTAAAGAGAAACCTCAAACTCTTTAACCTTCACTCCCTAGATCCCTCGTGTGCCCTAGTGTAAAGATCCACTAATCTACATCGTATCTGTAGGTTTGCCTACTCTGCCTGAATGTTTTATGTAGATGGACTCTACATTTGTGACATTTTGTTTGTGGCTTCTTTCATTTGGCATGTTTTCAGTTGACTCATAGCATAAATTGGTATTTCGTTCCCTTTATTGCCATTAGAGGAAAGACCTGCGTGATGACTCATGAAGAGATGTGGGTTCAGGGTAGAGACAACAGGCTGCATGAATGCAGGCTCAGCCTGAAGGCCAGTGGTGTGTGGCGACTCACGCCCAAAGGAGCGGGGAGGACACCTGGTACAACAGTTCACTGCAGACATACCTAGGAAGCTGCATGAGTTAGTTAATTGTGCCAGCCTGGTGGATAATCACATGTGGTGCTGGTTGAAAGGCGGAGGGATAAATGGGTGGTGAAGCCTCGCCTTTCTAGTTCTCGGTTCTCTTGTTTTGTGATGGTTGTATCGGGTGCAGCTGCCTTAGCAGTTCCCTGCTTCAGCTTGCAAGAGTGACTTCCTACAAGACATCCCCAAGGAGAAGCCGCATGGATTTATCCCAATGCAGCCCTGGGTGCTGGAGCAGCCGTGTGGAGACCCCTTGCCAGTGCTGAGATGCTTGCACGTTCACGGACTCAGCTTTCCTCCTGCAGTCGGCATTATTGCCTCTGTTTTGTGAGGTGGAGGACTTTGTGGACTGGTGTTGGGTATGGGTTAATGTTGGACTTGTGGGCTTGGGCAGCATTGGGTTGGGATGTTTTTGTGATGCACATTTTCTTTGCATAAAACTCTCTCTTATACGTGAGTTGCCATGGATTTGTTTTTCCAAAGTACCTAGACTAATACACTGCATATGTGGCCTGACTGGTGCCCTGGCTCATTGTAACCTCTCTGCTCTCTCAGGTGTGGCCCACAAAGCTTTTGAAAATGATGTTGATGCCCTATGCAACCTACGGGAATTCTTCAACTACCTGCCGCTCAGCAATCAGGACCCAGCTCCCGTCCGTGAGTGCCATGACCCCAGGTGAGTGTCAGACCAGAGCACCTGCTCTCCGTTTATAACACTTCTTGTTCTTTCTAGCTCTTCTGCCCGCTAAGACCTCCAGATTTGCCCCATCAGGACTGGTGGTGGAGTGGTGTCAGCGTGCCTCCCAGGTATGGATGCTTGTGGACATCTGAGCGCAGGATCAAAAATAGATGATTTTATTCACTTTTTCTCTCTGTAATACCTGATATATATCTTGGGGGTATCCTGTTGTCCCCTGCCTTCTTCCTGGTACAAAAGATTTACGAGAGAAACAGGAGTCACAAGAATTAGGAATCCACGCTTTTGTGCCTTGACGTAAATGTAACATGATGCAGACCGCGTGCCCATTAGGAAAGGCGTTTATGTCCACCTGTGTGGAGCCAAAGGCTGGAGCAGCCCTGGAGGAGGGGTGGTGCTGGCCTTCGTTCAGTCTTGTGGTTGGCACCTCTGTCTGACGTGGGTGGGGTGAAGGAAGCATCACAGAGGCAGGCAGGGCTCACTTGGATAGGATTTTCTTTTACAGAAGGGATAAGAATTGTGTCCCCTGGGAAAAAGCCATTTCGGACCATACGCTCTGTGCATTGGCCCTTATTTTGACCAGGAATCCTCCCACGTAGGGAACACAGCCAGGGATGTTGTGTGGAGTTGTGAAGGAGGGTGGGGGCTGTGTGGTGTCAGGGCTCAGTAGGGCACGTCTTCCTACTCTGAGCATCTGCAGTAAAGCTTGTGAATGCTGGAACCTGTGTAAGTAGAGAAGCGTTGCTTTAGGAATATTAAATATTTTTTCACTAAAATGAGTGATAGAAAAGTGATAAGGAAAAAAAAAAGAAAAGAAAAATGATAAGAATTCACCTAGTCAGAGGTAGAAAAATTTGTGAGACCCCAAAAAATGAGGCAGCCCCTCAAATTTCGACTCTCACAGGTTTCACTGATTTGGGAGTTCTTGAAGGGTTAAGACATTTGATGCTGCGGTGACTCCCGGGCCTAGAGGTCTCTGCAAACCTGCTTCAGCCCAGCTGTCCATACGTCTTCTCCAGGTGAGCCTGGCAGCCCTGCACATAGGCGGCGAATGAAAAGTACGGCCTGGCTGGAGTGTTAGGTTGGGCTCTGGACAACCCAAGGAACCCTGCTGATGCAGGGGTGAAGCATTCATCTGCTAACTGAAAGGCTGGCACTTTGAACACTGCCACTTTTTTTATTACTAAAAGATCATTTTATCTGGGGCTCTTACAGCTCTTAGAACATTCCATACATCAATTTTATCAAGCATATTTATACATATGCTGCCATCATTTTTTTCTAGACATTTACTTTCTATTGAGCCCTTAGTATCAGCCCCTCTTTTTTCCCACCCCCCCATGATCCCTTGATAAATTATAAATTATTATTACTATTTTTGTATCTTATACCAACCACTGGCTCCCTTCCCCATAGTTTCTGTTGCTCATAGGTGCCCTCTTCCTCCCCTCCTTTCCCATACTCTCCCCACCTTTCTACTACCCTCTGGTATTGCTTCTCCCATTCCTGTTGCTGGATTCGGAGTGTCCTGAGCTCGTATCTTTTAGCTGTACCTGTGCACATGCTCCAGCCTAGTCTGCAGTGGACTATCAGGACTGGGGTCATGATAGTGGGGGGTGAGGAAGCCTCAAGGAACCAGAGGATTGTGTGTGTTTCATTGGTGCTATACCGTGCCCTGGTTGACTCATTCCCTTCATTATGACCCTTCTGGAAGGGAATGTCCCATTGTCTACAGATGGGTTTTGGGTCTCTGCTCCGACCCTCTTCATTCTCAACAAAACTTTTTGTTTGTTTGTTTGGAGTCTTCTGATGCCTGTTACCCAATCCCATCGACACTTCATGATCACACAGGCTGGTGTGATTCTTCCATGTGGGCTTGTTGCTTTTATGCTAGATGGTTGCTTGTTTAATTTCAAGCCGTTAAGACCCCAGACACTATATCTTTTGATAGCTGGGCATCATTTGCTTATGCACCCATTTTGTCTTCAGCAGTTGTGCCAGGAGGGTGAGTGTAGTATTAAATTAAAAAAATAAGGACGCTGAGGGAGGAGGGGGGTGAAGGGACCATCCCCCACCCACTGCTACTCCTATTGCTACTACTCAGATTCATTAATACTACTTCTGGGTTCAGTAATGTACAATTGTACGGTTGAGATATATAAGTATTAAAGTCATCGAGAGCATGAGAGACAATACAATAATACAGTCAG